GTATCTCAGACGGTGCTGGTGCTCCTGGAACGGGATCCTCGTCGGGCCAATCATTTTGGTTGTCGTCAGCCGGATAATCGCGTGCCTGACCAGCACGATGTCTGGAGGCTGTTTCGCCCACGATGGAAACGATACCAGGGGGGACCGCTCAGAATGCCTGTTCGGATAATCTTGAGTTTGGACGCTGTCAAGATTCAAGTGATGATCTTTCTGAGGACTGGGATAGTCCACTAAACCGATGTCGAGGATCCAGGCTAAATCCGTATCTAGACAACCTTCTCCATACATTCCATAAGAGGCGTAGGGCCATGGTGGGTCAGAGTTCGGACTGCTTTGGGTAATCGACTTGCTTGATGAGCATGGGTTGGGGTCCAAAGATGCTCTGTAGTCTTGCCCTTGTTCACAGCTACCAATAAGACCTCGGCTGACCTCAACATCCCGGGTAGTGCCATGGATCGCGTTAAACGCTTCTGGATACCTTGAGTCGAAAGGATGCGAAGGCCGTGAGTCTGATGAGCGAAGGACCATATGCATATGGGATTCGTCTATGTCCTCAGCCCTAGGGTGGGTTTGCTGAAGCTGTTGATCAGCATTGTCAAAGTGCAGATTGCCCCCAGGGTCTGGCAAAGGCGCATCGGCGAGGTATTGGCGACCCGCATTCTTGGCATGAATTTTTGAATGACGTTTCAGGAGGTCACTTGAAGAAAGTCAGCGCCACCAGTCGTTCGTCCCTACACGCGTTACAAAATTCACAATACAAGGAAGGCGGGAAGAAAGCAGATTGATGCATTTTGTCGAGTCGCCGCTTTTGCCAACCACAAAGGCAACATACACATATATCGTTCGAGATGGGCAGAACACAGGAACTGGCGGGCCAACTACCTTCGAGTAAACCGTTTCTGGCAGACATGGCACACAAATTTGGCGGTCGTTTTGTCTAACACAATCGCATTTCAGTACAGAGGGACCCGGTCTAGGCTATGGAAGTGGACTTCTGCACGCACGATTCTCCGCATGTCGAGTCAAATTCTCAACTCGTGTGAACACCTTCCCACAAGTATGACAGATGAACGGACCAGAGGGTTGTTTCCTATGCGACCTTGACTGGCGCCTAGCTGCCTTTGGTGAAGCGACCTGCATGCTACTCTAAGCCTATTTCAGTCCCAACTGAGGCATGGAAGGAACCTCAAAGCAATGGAGCACATATAGGTGGAAGGTGGATCGTAAGAATTCAACAACACTGACAATGCCGCCGGATGTTGACTCTGGATGGGAGGTGGACGAAAACTGGCTGAGAGTCTCAGGGTGGACGGGAGAAGCGCGGGGACGGCGCTGTGGGCTCACGTGAGCCAATGCCAGTGATGTCACATGACTGTGGATCGGCGTCCACTGACCGGCATCTCCCCCGCTCCTCCACTATCCACACTAATCCACTATCCTCACCAAAACGGTCAATGATGGACGATCTTGACTATCTCCAATTTCTTCTGTCCTGTTCTGTAATGTGGACGGATAACCAACTTTCAGGAAAGAAGATGTAGAAGCACTGTACGGAGCTATGTACTTATACTACTATCGCGGATCTTAGATCTTCATCCGACGAGGTGTCTATATTATATTCACTCCGTCAGATCCTTACTGACCTATCAGCTTGGGAGTTGATAACAACTGGGTACAGCTGTCCAAACATGCAGGTAGAATCAGAGTCCTCAGTTCCAGAAATGGGCGACCTCAAGACTGCGAAGGCCGCGGTTGATGAAGTATCTGACTCCTCTCGAGCTGGTACACCAAGCTCCCAAGATGAGAGCACCAGAGAGGATGCTGCACGATCAGTGCAACCGAACTTTATCTCTCTGCTACCGCAATTGACCCTAGAGGAGAAGGTTGATTTGTTGTCGGGAACGGATTTTGTTCACTCTAGCGGAGTTTCGCGATTGAACATTCCTCCTTTAAAGGTATATGCATATATGCATCCTCAGCAATGGCCAGGCCTGCGTGTTCGATTGTACGGCTAACACAGCTTCCACAACTTTCTAGCTCGTCGACTCTGTTAACGGGGTCAAAGGCTCTGAACTTCACCACGGTGTCCCAACGACCATTTTTCCAAGCTCGACTTTATATGGTGCCACTTGGAACAGTACACTCATGGAGGAGCTAGGAAGGGCATTGGCGCACCAAGCGAAATTGAAATCTGCGCAAGTCATTCTTGGACCAACGATCAACATTCACCGCGATCCTCGAGGGGGAAGAAACTTTGAATGTTTCAGCGAAGACCCTCTTCTGTCCGGTCAGCTTGCGGCCGGCATCGTGCGCGGAATACAGTCACAAGGGGTCGCTGCTTGCCCGAAGCATTTTGCTTGCAACGAGAGTGAGTTCAAGAGGAGGGAGTACAGTGTGGCACAGTCTCACAACGGCCGCGCTGTTCGGGAGATATACTTAGCTGCTTTCCAGGAGATGTTGAGGAGAAGTGGGCCTCATGGCTTGATGGTAAGGTACGTATCAAGGCAGTCTTCCTCGGTGTTCGTATTGCTACTGCACTTCTTCAATGATTATTTGATGACGTTGCTGACGCCTGTCATAGCTACAATAAACTGAACGGCACACATACGACCGAGCATCCTTTCCTGAAGGAGATATTACGGGACGAGTGGGCATACAATGGATGTCTGGTATCTGACTGGTTTGCCACCAAATCTTGTGCAGCATCAATCAATGCTGGGCTTGACCTGGAAATGCCCGGTCCATCAGTCTTTCGTGGTTCGAAGCTTGCAGCGGCTGTAAGGGACGGTCTTGTTGACGAAAAAGCCGTCGATGAGTGTGTTTCTCGAGTTCTCGCTCTGGTCGAGAAGACACGAGAGTCTCACTCACAGGAACCTGAAAGGTCTGAAGTCAGCCCGGACACGAACGCACTAGCCCTGAAGATCGCATCAGAAGGTATTGTCCTTCTCAAAAATGAGCAGGGTGTCTTGCCTCTTGACATGCGTCGTGCTCCAAAGATTGCAGTTATTGGTGTTCCCGCCATTGAGCCCGTCGTGAGCGGCGGAGGCAGTGCCAGTGCACCTCCGCAGTACCTACAGAAGCCATTGGACTGTTTGAGAGACGCTCACCCCTTCCCTTCTTTGGTGAAATATACCCGAGGGGTCAATACAAACAGAATCGTCCCCGTAGTACCGCTAGATTGCACTACATCTAAGAATGGCAGCCCAGGTTTTGACGTCGCTTATTTCAACGAAGGTTCTAATATACCTGTGTACACGGAACACCAGAAGACTCCTATGGTCGCCATGGTTCGAAACTTGAAGCCTGGTCTGATAGAGCCGGGCTTCAGCTACGAGATTTCAACTACCATTACTCCCAAGACGACGGGCCCACACACATTAGCCGCTCGCGTTACGGGGAGTTTCTCTCTGTTTGTCGAGAGCAAAGCTGTTCTTTCGGTCTCGAAACAGCATGAAGTGACAATGGAAGATTTTCTCTTTGAGCCCGCTCGCCTGGAACACCGCATTTCTGTTTTCATGGAGGCTGGGAAGCCTTACTTGGTGCGGCTACTGAGCCAGGCTCGTATCCCTAGGAGAAATGACTATGAACCCACTCCTCACGGTGCAACGCTGTGCTATGAGGAATTCAGTGATGAGCGCGCTTTGATAGCCGAAGCCGTCCAGGCTGCTTCTTCAGCGGATGTGAGCATCGTATTTGCTGGTCGAAATCAACAATACGAATCTGAAGGGTTCGACCTTGATTCCATGAATATATCGGAACCCCAGGTAAGGCTCATCAGAGCCGTCACAGCAGTTTCCAAGAAGACAGTGTTAGTGCTCAACTGCGGCAATCCGATCGACGTATCGCCATTTGTGAATGAAGTCGACGCGATTCTCAATGCTCACTTCCCCGGCCAGGAGGGCGGACAGGCAATCGCTAATATTCTGACTGGCAAAACCAACCCGAGCGGCCGCTTGGCGACCACCTGGCCTAAGAAGCTCGATGAAGAGCACGTCCCCACTTACCACAACTTCCCAGCGCAACTTACGGAGCGTGGGTATGAAATCAAGTATGAAGAAGGCCTTCAAATAGGATACAGACATCCTCAATCCCAGCGCACTGCGCAATGGCAATTCGGCCACGGGTTATCTTACACTACCTTCGAATACTCGGGACTCACCGTCAGTGGCCAGGAGATAACTGAGGACGCACGCGCCTCTGACCTGAGAATCTCGGTCAGGGTCAAGAACACTGGTATCTACCCCGGCCATGAGGTTGTCCAGCTCTATATATCTCCTCCAGGCAGCACGAAGGTGTGGCGTCCTGCTCGCGAGCTTAAGGGGTACGCGAAAGTATGGATACTTCCTGGGGAGTCAGAAACAGTGACAATCTCCCTGAATAAGAAACATGCATTCAGCTACTGGGATGAGGATGCCAAACAATGGCGGCTAGAGCCTGGAATATATTGCCTTCTTGTAGGACCTTTTTCGACTCCCTTTGAGATTGAGCACAATTTGGTGTGGACTGGACGGTAGATTCAGCGGCTTTTTCTACCTCATGTATATATATATATCCATCGAAGACATTTCATATAACGAGTTGTTTTAGATCTTTGCCGTTTTTGGTCGGTAGACAAGGGAATCAAGCGTCATTGAGGCATGATTAAGGCCATTTGGCCTTGTACTTACTGCTTGAAGAGCGTTACGTCGATCTGATTTTAATCACAGGACTGCCATGCTCTATGATAATGGGGGCATTGCGCGCGTCCTCGGTTATCCGAAGATTTTAGAGGCCATCAATATTTCGCCGACGGAACAGCGGAGATATACAAGCTTTGAGAATATATTTGAAGTAGGAGGCAAGGGATTGTGGCATCAGAAATGCAGAGAAGAAGACTTGAGCTTAACCAATTATGGTCCGTGGGATATAGCAGAGTCGTACTCATTTTAAACAATGTTTTTAATGTCCCAGTCCCAAATCCAGAGCCAATTTTCCCTTACTTCTGATAGCAGCAACATTACAAAATGGCAAGTTATTTTAAGCGCGACATGAACCTTTTTACTCCTTAAACTCGACTTCCTTTCCACTCGTCATGCCTAGAGCAGCGTAACTAACAGGATCTGTGGTACTAGTCAATCATTATTCACTCCTGTCAATTCCTGGACAGCTTACCCAGCTGCTGTAATATAACTTGTTCCCCAGGCAAAAAATGAACATCCTGGGTACATTTAAGCTCAAGAGTGGAATCTTGAGATTTATGAATAATGACCCGTTCAACTTCTCCAGTCACATATTCCATTTCATCGGGTTCAATCATTTTGCCACCGATCTCAGCACGGATGTGGTTGCCCTCTTGTAGGGTTATAGGGTCACGGTCGAAATATGCCTTAGGCATGCTGGAGATTCGCAGTACGTTCAAAAGTGAGGATCTTCAATAAAATCGATATTCGTGAAACTGAATGGAAATTCTCTTGAGTTTCTCGCCGAAATATATACTATGGTCTCTACATAGCCGATATATACGAAGAATGAGGACCAGGCCGCGTTCGTCATCATGACATCTTCCATTCTAGATTGTTAATATTAGGAAGGACTATGTAAAGACGTAATGTAAAATCATCACCTAAAGTCACCTAAATCCATATACTCCGTAATTTATGGCCGTTCTTGTAGTAGCTATAGCCACCCTCTCGATAAGACAGAGTTTCTTCTCTGGAAATGCCTGATGATCGCGACCCTTAGGTTGTAGATTAAACTTTATGTAAATTAATCTGGCAAGTAGAGTGAGTGATTTAGTTCTTATTTATATACTATTGTAATTTCCGGGCTCTGGTTATGATCTATATGATAGTATATAACTAATAAGCCACACCCTGATAGAAAACATTATGCAGAAGAGAGGCTGGCTATCATAGTAAATTCTAGCACATATGACCATAGGGTTTGGAAAACAGGGCTCCCCGTCCGCTCAGCCGTACTTGAGCCACATATAGGGCACCGCCAATTCTCAATGCGCCCTGAGCTTCGATATTAGGGTGAGTGTGAATGACATGGGTAAGGTAGTCGCCGTCTGTTTGGGTGAAGTAGTAGTATGTAATAGTGATTCCTGTAGTAGTGCAATTAACTAGAGAAGAAAGAGCTGCTAAAACAATTCTGAAATTCCAGAAGTGGACTAGCGCCGCCACAGCACAATCTTGGTATCTTACCTTTTACCTAAATAGGCTTAGTAACCAGGCTGGTACCAATGCTTAGGAGATTAGACCAAAGGCGGTATAGGCTACCCGTAGCGGAAGGTCTGGACGTTCCCTTCAAAGAATAATGTGTCTTAACCTAAGCCTCTAGGGGTAGTTAAGACAAATCCAAGTGACTAGCTTACAGCAATTGATATCGATCAGCGAATCGGGTGAAAAGACCAAACATTCTCGACCAAAAATATTGACGAGTCGTACCCACTTTGAGCTGTCATCCCCCCGCCTCGCCAAGTATTCCTTTTACGGGGCATCCGCCCCCAGCTCTGACGGCCCGGAAGATATTTAGAAAAAGAGCCCGCTTAGCTCGAAAAAGCACAGGCTGCTGCGAAAGACCTTTCCAAGACTCTCTAGCTACCACGGAACTCGTAGCAACCAAACCGGTTCCCTTCAGGGTCACGGAAGTTCATAAACCACCCATGAGAACTCTCAGTTGTCTTGGCTAGACAGGTGCTACCACCGCGTTCGTGAATTTTCTTCTCCACCTGATATAATCAGCCTTGCCGATCTTCTGGAAAAGGTACTAATTCCTGGAGTATTTGGGCACCAGGACTGACCATGTCAAGGGAGTCGACCGAGTAGTACACGGTCATCCCACTGCCCATGACCTGCTCTGTTGGAGCGCAACCCTCCGGCATCTGGACGATGCCTCCCGATAATCCTAGACGGAAGACCCATTCAGCGATTTTTTTTTTTTTTTGATAAGCCAGTGCATCAAGGTTGGCTTACCCTTCGGTTCAGCGAAACTATAGTGCTGCACTTTGCTTGGGTCTTCAGCGGACTGAGCTGGTCTCCATTCCCAGGAGGGAAAAATGGCACCGTAAAATGCCTACCCAGACATCATCGTCAGCGGGGTCCAGTACCCTGCTACTACAGCAGACGAAAATCATCAGAGTCGCCGCAGGACCGCGAACCGACCTTTAGTTTTTCGGTATCCCGTGCAGGGATCTCCACCCAACATGGACAGCCTTCTGGGGGAGCCTTCCATGTCTGCTGGGCCTTAGGTGCGTCACTGGTTTCAGTAGACATCTTGGGCTGTTATGGCCTGAACAAGTTCAGCGCGTGCCAAAGGGTTCAGACATGGAGGTGAAGGAGCATAATAAATCTACTCCATCTTATACTGCCAACAGGAGGCATTGAACGATAAAAGCATGGTTCGTGTACGTCATCGGCAACATGATCATGGAAAGCAGGTGGCCTCGACTTCGGGTAGAGTTTAAGCCATATAGCTATCTACACCTTAGCGATGGGCTAGATTGGGCTTTTAATATCATGCACTGACAAACGATGTCACACGGTACTGCTTAATCTTCTCCAAAAGAGCCTCTCAACCGTGGCTTTACACATCTTTCATAGACAATAGTCAAGGATCGCAAATCAACAGTTCGTATTCCTAGAGACATTTCCGCCAGCAGTATGCCTCCGTAACCCACCAGAAGCTGAGACGTCACCCCGCATGAACCTCCTTAGATACAACCAAATTTCAATCTAGGGACCAGGATCGATGCAGCCACTTCGTATAAGTACCGCGAAATCCATGAATCTGGGGTCAAGGAGAGTACCACAGCAAATGAGCGGCAGAACTCTGAGATTTGAGTTCGGATACGAGGAACGGAATTCTTGACAACGCGTGACACCGCGTCTCTCACATACTTCACCAACTCTGCTCCATGACGCATGTTTCCGTTTTTTCTTCGCTTACACATGATATAACTCTTGCCTGTTGATTGGCCCTGGCGTATATTGCTAAGCTATAAATTGTCCTTTTTTGAAGAGTAGATCCCTTTTCTTTCTAGAACGCTTGTGTGACAGTATAGTATTCGTACCATATACAAAACTTGTATGATCGTCGGGTCTGCTACTGCCCTCATAGAATGGTCACTCTTTCTTCCTGCCACAATTTACAGCAATGGACAGCCAGGTAGGTTTCTCTCACAAATATTTAGTGGGTTTCCCTCATTTCCCTCACCACTGCTAGAAAAATATAGTGAGCCCCGAAGAGTACCAGGCTGCTCGATCTCGTCTTCTCCAGCAGGAGAAAGCGGCAACACGACTGCTGCAGGAGCTCGCCGTGTCGCGCCGTCAGTTGCCCATGGTGCGCATCCACGACCCAGCTCGGTTCCAATTCGATACACCAGACGGAGTGAAGAGCCTGTTGGATCTATTTGATGGGCGCAAACAGCTAATCCTCTACCATTTTATGCTGGGACCCGATGAGACTCAGGGCTGCGTGGGTTGCTCATTCTGCATGGACCATATCCCCGACCTGCGCCACCTGTGGAGCAGGGATACTTCTTTCGTCGCCGTGGCTACCGCGCCCTTGTCTGAAATTACCGCCTACAGGGATCGGATGGGCTGGAGGTTTCCTTTTTATAGTTCCGCGAAAACGCACAAAACGTGGGCCGAAGTCGAGGCACAGGGAGAAATTATCACCTGGAAGCCGGGGAACGGTTATTTCGGACTATGCTCGTTCTTCCGGGAAGGTGACGAGGTATTTCACACCTATGATACCTCGTCTCGTGGCTTGGAGATTATCCTGTCCACGTATCACCTGCTGGATATGACCGTGATGGGTCGGCAGGAGGCGGGCAATGGAATGAACAACTTCCGCCGTCACGATGAATACTAGATTGGCAGGGAATAGAAGCAACAACTCGTCAATTTGTCCCTTAGGGTCATCACTTTTTTTATGCCCTCTCCTGCTTCCTGCTTATTGCCCCAACCCGATAGCACATATAGCCCCGAATATTAGTATGTCACTTGATCGTATGAAAAGACACACCCTTACAGAAAAGCAGTTTAAAGAAACCTTTTCATGACTAACCAACTCTAATATCCAGATACTAGTTACCAGTCGGCCCTACCCCGAGCTACTTTAAAATACTTTAAAAGGGTCGCAAACAAGAACCTGGCTGCCTGTCTCAAAAAAGAGAGGGATATTGTACGCTATATCGAGGAAAAAGTGGTTTACCTTGCCCAGGGGCATTCCTACACAGACAAAATTAAAAAGCAAGTCAGCAACCTCCTTAGAGAGAAAGCAGGAGGCACTTTGCTGTAGGTCGACTTAGCGTATGAGAAGTAAGACGATCCCCGTCTTAAAGAACATACCCAAAGGACCCGATTCGCTCTCCAAGGAAGTTCTCAACAAGGACTTTGAACAGGAAGTGGTTAGGGGAGACGTGATCCGCATTCTGGGATTTGTTACCGCGTCTCTGCGGCCACTGAGCGTGCTGGAGATTTCTGAGGCTTGCCACCTTCACCTTGATGAAGACGTTGTGAGAACTGGGGGTCAGTTTACACGTGAGGAAATTGCATCCTACCGTCTAATGGTCATCATCCAGGAGAAGGTGCTAATATTACATCAGTCCGTGAGCGACTACTTGGAAAGTGCGGGCTATCTTGACGAGCTAAAGGCACATACCGAGCTCGCCTACTGCTGTGTTGATCCGCTCATCGAGGAGTCCCATTACAGTGAACTCTCGGCCATCCACTTTTCACTTGGTGTGGCTCAAAATGGGCCCAATCATGCGCGCGTGGCAGAGTCGAAATTTGCAGTCCAGGATTCGCAAGTGGAGTTCTTTGGCATCCACCCTCCCTGTCGAGAGCAGTATCCATGCAAAGCTGGATGAGGTCAAGGCTGATGTTCATGAGATGATTCACAAATACTTCACACGTCCGCTGAAGACCCTTAATACTGAACTGGGTGATTTGGATCCTGACTATATAATGATCTGAATCATTCAATATCCCCTACTATATAACGATTTATATTGTTTGATATCCTTGCTATATAGTGATTTGAATCATCTGATATCCCTACTATATACTAATTCGAATCGTTCAAAACGCCTAAGGGAAGGTAGTTGGGTGCTTACTGCTAGCAGAAAACCATGAATTACTGACGTACGGAAATATCTACAGATGTATTTTCGGTTTTGTCCCAATGCCAGGGAGTGTAAGTACACCAGGAAGTGCTGGTGCACCAAGAAGTACAGGTGTGCTAAGAAGTACAGGTGCACCAGTGAGTGTTAAGTTCAGATTCTATGTCCCTGAACTGTTTAGAACATAGTGATTCCAGGTTTTCCGTAGTCTAGTATTAATGGCGCCTCAAGGGTAGAGAAGCTTTCCTCGTGAGCTACCCACCTGAAGTCCTGAACTATGTTAGCTCAACTATAGTTCGCCCAAACATGAAAGGAACCAATCCAGCCGAGGTTCGCCTTGCTTCATCAAGCTGCTGATGCCGATCACCCTCCCCGCCGACACTCCATCGGTGACCTGTCAATCTAGCCATGTCACCGAGGATCTGCAGAGGGTTACCCCGTATCCTGGGAGCTGAATGCTTGACATGGAACAACAAAGATCTACCTAAGGCAACCATTGATTGCACTCAGATGTACCTCTTGCCAAGGACAAGGTTCGCACTTCCAAGTTCTGAATGCAGATAGGTATCCACACAAGAAGAGGCCAAGTCGCGAACACCTGCTCCATGCGCTAGGATAATACGAGGTGGAACGTGCAGAGCCGCCGATCCTGACTGAGAAACCTGCGGAATCCATGAAAGTAGCTCAGCTTGCACTCGTCCTGGCGATTGGTGCCGATCGGCCATGGGCAGAGCCAACTACAAGGCAAAAGTGGCTAGCCAACTGCCAGCTGTGAGGCGATAGATATCGCCACATCACGTTGACAGCAGGAATATCAAAGTTGTCTGTGTCGCTCTGATACTGTACACTAAGTGGAATGAAGAATGGTATGTACTATTTCCAGCATCACATCACATACTCATTAAGAGCTCAATAGATGCATCATCTGTCAAGCAGGCATGATGCAATTGCCCATGGTGACAGCAGATACCTCCAGCGAGGCAAGGTGCAGCTAGACGGACCAGACCGGATTGAAACTGTATAGGACCCTTCACATGGCGTCACACTGCATAGAATGTTCATGCAGTGTAATATCCTACTGCGGAGCTCGCACAGTCAGTTCTTGTCATGGCCACTTAGACATGTATACAACAGAAGCTCAGCTACATCTGTTCAGGATGATCGACCAGCAGATCACTAGAACACACTGAATTGACCCGCGATCAAAGGTCGAGCCTATCATAGCTGGGCCATCATGGCTGGATCATCATAGTATCCAAGCTATAAATTGGCCTTTTCCACTCCAGCTACAATGTAGTGGTAGCTTAATTATCTTTACGGAAATCAGACTAAAAAAGCCATAAGGTACGAAGTACCCAAAGATACCTGAAGTAAACATACGGATCTTTTCTGGCGAAGGCAACGCATACTTTCAATTTGGCCATTACGTCGGTATTGCCCACATGCGCCAAATGCTTTTAAGGTGCCGCTGATGAAATATAGGACCACAATGGTTGCAGGGAGGATATTCATCGGTCTTCTCTTCCTTCTAGCTCCATCCTACGCGGTACCAGATGTTGGAGAAGCCGCTGGCCACTACCGAGAAGGGTTCGGCCCGATGGGCAGCTGGCCCCATACTATGGGCAAGGGTTGGGGCCAACATTGTACGCGAAACTATGAGTGCGATAGTGGTTGCTGCAACTGGGAGAAAGCAACGCCCGGCTACGGCTGGGGAATGTGTGATGATCGGGAAAATTGTTTTTGGTGAAGCTCGAATTAGCTAGTCTTACTGGTGGGAGATGATAGGTTTCGATATGGGTTTTCCCTATTGATTTAGGTTTCCCCATACCTTTATGCGAATGCAGAGACTATCATCCGCATGCAGATAATTGCTGTTAAACATACTATAACTTTACATAATTGTAAGAAAACCCCCTACCAACCAACCTACCATACAACCTACCATACAACCTACCATACAATCTACCATACAATCTACCACACAATCTACCATGGCTAAAAAGAAATCTACTATAGCTACAAAGAAGCGCAAGCTTGACGAGACTATCGCCGAACTACCTACCAAAGAAGAACTCTCTAGTCGGCTTCAGCCCTTAATACCTACCTCTGAACCTCCACGGCGACAGCTACCTAGCAGCTTAGATATAGAGAGCCCATACGCGATCTTCTCCCTCTTCATTAGCCAAGAGATCTTCGAGTTTCTCAGCCAGTCTACCAACGAATACGCCCAGCTGCTGTACACCACCTCCGCAACTAAGCCTTTTATCGTCTAGCGTCGAAAATACATCTCCAAGTCGACCAAAGCGCTAGAAGAACATGGCAAAGCTATCGAAGCACGCACATCTTCTTACGCCAAAGCTTTAGCGAAATCTCGAGCGTATCTTCTACCGTAGTCCAATCGCTACTGATGACCTCGGTATAGCCAACGAAACAATTACACAAATTGGGGCTACAGAACAACTAATACAGAGATCAGGGGCCGTACCCACACTGGTAACCACAGACGATGCGAATCGATCAATTGCCACAAGGAAGGCCAAGGAAGATGCAGCGGAAGAGAAGCGGTTTGCAAAAGAATATAAGAAGAGTACAGTCGCAAGCCACCACCTTTGGCTCCTAGGAAACTCCGCCCATGCTGCGGTGGCGGATTCATTCTTGCTGTGATCTTTCCCCCCTGCAAATGAGATCCAGAGTTCTTCGGGTCTTATCTCCGGGCAGGGGAACCCCATTCGTTAATTGGACCCTTTTTCCTGGGTTTGGAATCCACAGGCCCGAATGGACGAAGATCGGCGAGACTATCTACGCTGATCGTAAACAATACGAGATCCGGCCCTGCCGTGGGCTCCACCATTTGCACAAAACATCGACAAGTCTGTTCAAGCATCTTGCCGTCTTCTTGCGACATATGGGAGGGAAGAATAGGGGCTGGGCTAGTTAATAGAAAATTATCTCGTCAACTCCATTACCGCACATTTCATCGTTCATTCCATCCTTCTTTTCCCTTCACCCTCGTCGCTCTTTTCGGATCTTTAAATCCAGTCATTCGTTCTCTTCAATTTTGATTATGGCCCCTCTTTGGCCATGGATGGGCGCCTTCCTAGCAGCCCTGCCAGTGGCTCTAGCAGGACATGGCGACCCTATCTCCCAGAAATATATTGTCGAGTTTACTGATTCCGAGACTGTTCGTCCACATATTAACGCCGTCGCAATGCCAGTTCATTGCGCAGACTTACTAACTTACATAGTCGTCCGCCGGCTTCCTCTCCACCCTCAATGACCATGGCATTCCAGCCAGTCTCAACCATGACCTGTCCTTCGCTCTTTTCCATGGTGGATCTTTTACTCTGCTAGACAACAAGCAGAACGAGGCTGCCATTGTCAAGCAGATCTCCTCGTGGCCGGTGGTCAAAAAGGTCTCCCCGGTGCGGGAGCTGCACCAACCTCAGCGCCCCGTTTCGAGTGTCGCCCACGGCGCTCCCATCCGCCATAGTCCTGTCCCTCACGATCTGCGACGCCGTGACACGACGGGTCAGGAAGGCAACGACTACCCACACATCATGACTGGAGTCGACAAGTTGCGCCAGGAAGGCTACCTGGGTACAGGAATTCGCGTAGCGGTGATCGACTCGGGCGTTGACTACAAGCACCCCGCTCTCGGTGGCTGCTTTGGCAAGGGTTGTCTGGTTGAATTCGGCTTCAACTTCCTCGACAACACTACCGACCCGTGGGAAGGCCACTCTGGACATGGTATGTCAAGAAATTCACAGATACGGTATATTTGGAACTTTCGGCTGATCGCCTGCAGGAACTCATGTCTCTGGACTGATCGCAGCTCAGCCCAACCCCTTCAACTTCACCGGCGTAGCCCCGAATGTGACTCTTGGTCATTACAAGATCCTTGGAAAGCGGACAGTGAAACTCGGTACTGACCTCGTTGCTGCCGCTTTCAAGAAGGCCTACGAGGACAAAGCAGACATCATCTCAGCTTCGTTTGGCACGTACAAGGGCTGGAGCGACGAACCGTGGGGACAGCTGATCCAGAAATTGGCCGAGGCTGGGCTTCCCTCGTTCATTGCCACTGGCAATGACGGAAATAATGGCTTGTTCCTGGCCTCGAATGGTATCGACAATGCTGCTGGCATTGGCATCGGGTCCTTCAACAACGTGTATAGTCCACTGCTGCTGCCTGGAGCTTCCTATTCCACCGGGAACACCACCAAGGAGTTTGTTTGGCAGCTCGCGGGTACGTCCGACTTCAAGAATGGCACCTACTCTCTCTACCCGAGCAGCCTGAATGCGTCCGTCATTGGTGATTCTTGCGAGCCATGGACAGCGGACCACCCGAACATCTCCAACAAGATCGTCCTCATTCGCTATGGTGGCTGCCGCAACAGTGTGCAGCAGGCCAATGCGGTCAAGGCCGGTGCGAAGAACATCCTGTTTTATAACAATGAGCCGGGCACCTATGAGCTTCCTGTCCAGAACTCTGCTCTGGTGGGCCTAGGGATGGTCTCTGCCCAGACTGGCGAGAACTGGGTGAAACTGGCCGCCTCTGGAGCCAACATTACTCTGCACATGACCAGCGCAAAGTACGCTAAAACCATCTTCATCAATGAGACCAACCCGCAATCTGGGGCCACGTCAATGAAGTTACCGAATGGGGCCCCAGCAACGAACTCCTTCCTGTGACAGCAGTTTCGGGAGTCGGTGGCTTCATGCTGTCGACATGGCCGCTCCTTGAGGGCGGCTACGCCGTGGATAGTGGTACTTCGATGGCGACGCCCTACGTTGCTGGCTGCGTTGCCCTCCTCATGGAGGCTCGTGGAAAGGGCAAGGTAACCCCTGCTGAGATCAAGTCTCTATTGTCGACCACTGCTAAGCCGAATGTGTTCCATGATGGCGTTACAGCCTCGCCCTTCCTGGCCTCCGTGGCGCAGCAGGGAGGCGGCCTTATCGATGCCTACAAACTTGTGCACACCACCACCAAGTTCAATGTGAGCACCATCGCCTTCAATGACACCGAGCATCTCGCCCCGGCGTGGATCCGCATCAACAACACCGGCTCCGAGCCGCGTGTCTACACTGTCGGCCACGTGGTGGCCGCTACCGTCTACACTCTGTCCGACAACAGTTCCATCCCGCAAAGGAACAGACTCGGCCACTTCGTGGACCGCACTACCGAGGGCGCCTCGCTCAAGTTCAGCTCATCCGTCGTGCTCGTGGCCCCCGGCGAGTCTGCCGTGCTGAAGGTCACTGCTACCCCGCCCAAGGGTGTCATCGCCCGTCGCATCCCCGTCTACAGCGGATACGTCACGTTCAACGGAACCTCAGCGGATGATTCCTTCTCGGTTCCCTACCTGGGGGTTGCCACCGCCATGCGCAACGTGACGATCCTAGACACCACGCAAGGTGGCAACTATATCATCGACAGCACCACCCAGAAACGCGTCCAGGCCAACCACCAGTTCGTCCTGCCGGGCAAGAATGGCCCGCCCCCGGCGCAAACACCAGCTACCCCATCTTCCAGACCCAGCTCTCAATGGGAACGGATCTGCTCCTCGTCGGTGTCCAATCGGCAAACAGCCGCACTATCCTCCCAGTGTCTGATCCCCTGACAGCCCTCGCGCGGAGTGTTGATGGTCTAGCTGGCCCCCACCCATTTCTTGGATGGGCAAGTTGGCGAACGGTTCGTATGTCTCAGCGGGCAACTACTCTCTAGTTGTGCGTGCGTTGAAAATTTTCGGCAACCGCACTAACCCGCGGGATTATGACACCGTGCGCACGGTCAACTTTGGGATCACATACGCTCCCCCCAGCTGACCATGAATGAGCTACAGAGCCGTTCAAGCTCGGGATGCATTGCATCTTCATCCTGGTACTCACCTAGGCATCTGGACCTCGGCATGGCTCTCATGCATGTCCAAGCTTTGGTCCTTACACTTTGTCCATTCTTTGCACAGCCTTTTCTGTCCCTTCTGAGTAGGACGGATCGTAATAATCATTTCTTCTAATAGGACCCTGTTGTTGACAGCAGCAGTGACATTGGCATTCGTATCACCTTCTAATATAAGCTGCCAACTGAAACTTGAATGATCATTTTCTTTTGCTATGAGATGACCTAAAATAGAAGAACGGGTTGAGATAATGTTATACTATCCAAAAGCAGCAAGCAATGTAGTCTAATAAAATACTGCATTTCTATGAATAGAATTAAAACACAAACCCTAGTAGTGTTCTATAGCTTCAGCTTGACCTCATTGACATCCCTCAGATTCGGCTGGTTAATGAAGATCGAAAGTACGTCTGCTTAGACGTAATCACTTCAATCTGGTGCGGGTATGTAGTTGGCACATAGTACGGAGTACATATCGCCCTGCTGCAACAGATATGTGTCCGTTGACCCGTCCGGATATCCACGATAGTCAGATAGATATAGTCTAGCATTGCTGTAGCTATAACCTGCTCCTTAACTAACACACAGATCTAGCCTACTATGTAGTTATTATATGTTCTTTTACAATCCTTATAATTCTCATTTATCTCTTTTGCTACAGGGTGGATTACCTTTAACAAGCCATTATTACGCAAAGTAGCATGTCGGCCAGCACCAAATTACCAGTCCAGCTACGGCCACAACAGCCGTTCCAGCGCCAACAAATGTTGCCGAAGGAATCAACAGCGACGTTAGAAAATACTATACTATCCAAGATGGCGATTACTGTGCCTCGGTTTCCAATCAGATGGACATTTCCCTCAGCGACTTCTACTTTCTCAACCCGGAAATGGGCGCCAACTGCACGAATATCTTGCTAGGCATAGCGTATTGCGTTGAGGCCGTCACTGACATCTCTCTATATGCCAAATATACCGGTGGCGGCGCCGTTGAGGTCTCCTGCCTTGATACATCTGCCCCAAGCAGCTGCTTCCAGGATGTCTCCGACCTCCCATCCGTGCCTTTGATGGCGGGAAATGTTACCCTCCCAAAATACAACAGGACGACTACTCCTAGTCAAACAATTCTGACGCAGACACCACTACCAACAGCGTCGGGAACTATCACTGTTTGCTCAGAGTATCTCAATTACCAGACGGTCAACTCCACCATTCTTAGAAGCTGAATAAATTGGTGGCGACATGCACGTCTGGAACTAGAGATAAGAGGGCCCTGGAAGTAGCGGTGAGAAGAAATCAGAGAATCACTTGCATCGCATCAGTGTTGGACCCATTGTTCAGCTTAGCCGCATACTAGCGTGCAGATCGCCTGCATGAAGAATCGATCGATCGGGCAGACTTGGGGGCTTAGTCTCATGCAACTACATGCTAACTACTGGTCGCATTTGAGCTGCACTAACAACGAATCAAAATTGAACCGCTCTGGACGGAATCCATCCCCGGTTGTAACCTTACGCCGCTGACGAGATTCCTCCGTCCTGCATCATGCCTGCAGAGCTGAGGAATTTGATCTCTGTGCGCAACTGTCTTCTTAGAGGTGGAATTCAATCACGTTGTCGACACCGATTTCTGATTGCTTGAAGTATCGTTGTCCAGTGTAGCTGATTTTGTCAGTCTCGGCCTCACGACAAGAACAAACACAAGCGAAGAAGTCCAGCCAGACGAGGCTGGCTAGTTGGATGCACAAGGGAAATTACCTCCAATGAGTCAACCCCATAACAACATCCTTGCACCCTTTGACGAACATTTCAGTAACCGGATTGGGTGACTGCTGAGACAGTCCGCGTAGACGTTTCTCCACCTCATGAAAGGCGCAAGCGGCCTCCTGGACAAGCAAGCTCGAGCGCTCCACTGCGCTGCTGCAGTCGATGTTGTGATTGAGCATCAAGATCGGAACGAGGTTCTCGATCTGATTGTCCGCCTGCATGCCTTTGTCAGAACGAGGGGTTTCAGTGTCAAAAAAAAAAGAGACATACAATTTCCTTTCTGAGCGAGAACATGTCGTTGATCCTGCAATCGTGATCAGGAGAGTGTCGCGGGCAAACGAACTAGAAGAAACTTACATGTGTACCAAATAAGATGTATGTCTCCACAACAGTCCCATCAGCTCACCGGCGAGCTCTTGCTTGCTGACGTCGACCCCATAAATAAACCTACTACTCGTTAGTATGAGCCCAGAGTCACGGTTACTGGTAGGATCTGCGCACGGAATAGTAGCTATGACAGGGTACACTCCGCAGGTTTCTCAATAACGTCAGCCAATCGTTAGAAGACAAGTGGAGATGAGAAATACCCTTTGAGCAAACCTCTCTAATGTGGGCCGCCACCTCATTCCAGCACAACAGTGCCTTTTGCAGCTCGTCCGAGCATCCTGATAGGTCCGGAGCATCCTCCTTGCTGGAAAGAACTGCGCAGAAGTATTGCATAGACTTGTCCCGGTATTCTGGGATAGCCATTTTCTCATGCGTCAGGCTGCCACAGTCAAATACTAAGTAGAGTGGTCGATTAGTCTTTCTCCCTGGGATACGACCTGTTCAAAGCTTACAATCGTCCCAGATAAAGTACTATCTTGTATCAGCAGATTATTCAGAGCATTCGTCAGACAATAGAGGCAACGGACCCATGCAAACGCCTTGGCTACAGAGCACATCTTCTCAAAAGACGCATCTGCACACATGATGGCAGCGAAACGGCCAAAATCCGCCTTTTGGAATTTGCGAGCTGTGTCTGCATCGGGGACCCAGCTTTGCAACCTTAGTAATGCTGGCAGTAGACACTGAAATCAGTGCACTCACCGTTCAATCCACGGATTAAGCACTTTATCACGAGCACGGTCATATTCTGGATGAAGTCGAGGTTTCCACTCAGGAAAAAGAGCGTAGAAGTTGGGCAGCCTGGCCGTTTGTCCTCTGATTGACTGCCGGAAATCAACATGCGATTGTAGGGCTGGCATTATTCGAGTCATTTTGAATGAATCGATAAAGCTGGTGTTCGATGGAACTTACTCCAGGTTCAGCGTTTTATACTCTGAATTTCCCGCTCCAAGCTGAAAGAGGAAGCATGGCCGGTGGCAAGAAGACACAGTCTCAGCTCCTGCAGGACCTGGCGACCATCAGCGAGAGTGACCCACTATTCAGTACGATATGCTTGATCTCCGAGATCTGCTTTCAACAGCTTCTGCGAATGACAAGACATGTCAGGACCGATACGCCACATTTTCAGCCCTTGAGTAGAGCTGAGCTTTGGCCTTCGTCTCTACACCCCAGTATCCACAATCAGAACGTGTACGAGCCGATTGGGCTCCATGGCCCCATCCATCGGCAAGATTGCCCTTGCTATATGCGCCTGCAGATTAGGTACACGAGAGCCGAATAGAAGGAAAACCTAAGACTTGGATAGGTTAATACCTCCTTTCCTCCAAGGCTAGTATATACGACCATAGGGTGTGGAAAACAGGGCTTCCCGTCCGCTCAGCTGTACTTAAGCCACATATTAAATGCAGTAAATTCTTAGAAAGCCTTCCTGCCCTGAAAAAGCAACCTTATAATTTTAGCATAGGCGCTGGTGATGTGGGTGAGGACTTTATTACTCCTCATCACCACTCTAGAAAATGGCTCGCGAGTAGTGATGAGAGGTGGTAATAAGGGTTTATAAGTAGTAAGGAAGGACACCTTTACTAAGTAAAATAATACTAGACTACTAATCTAGCTACTATTAAATAGGCTAAGAGCCCTGTTATTCAAGATAAAGTTTTTCAGTTCCTTTCTTATTTAATCTTTACTAGATTATCTACTAGCACTAGAACTCACACCCTATATATAATGTCACATGACCATATTTTTAGAAATGGATAAAGAGTATCTAGAGAAAGTGGTTAGAGAGTAGTAGAGGCTTGCTAAGTTATATAGGTTTATTCTTAACTATTAACTTTAGCAGGAATAGAAGGAGAATATTATTTACTATCTAAGACTAGCACTAGCCACCAATACAAAGTATGACTAAGCAGTATTTAATTAGGCAGTATAAGTTATTACTACCATTTTAGGGTGAATATTAGAAATTAAAGTGCTAATGCTGGTCACAGATAGAGACTTTCCTATAATAAAAGACTAATAATAAATTTCTCTAAGGAGGAACCTAATCCCTCCCTATAAATCCTTAAGCTTTTTATAGAAGAATTTATTATTATATAGAAAAGGGGGTTACTATCTTAGAAGATAGCCTGCTATAATTTTACTAGCTTCACCTTAAAATAGGAGTGTAAGACCTCTCAGACTCTCCTAAGATAGATGAAAGATAATATCCTTAATATATATCCCCTTCAGGGAGCCTCTTCAGGAAGACTATTTTATTATGATAATCTAAATACTAATAATCTTAGTTTATCAAAGATGATTTAACTAAAAAATAGGGACTTCTAATAAAACTACATGAAGTTTTCCTAGTAATAGCTAAGGACATTAAATACTTACTTTAATATTTATTTAGAGATAATCCTTATAACTATATACATGAGCAGGTATGGGTATAAACTAGAAGTAGTCTTATACTTTTTATAGGCTTAGGAGCTAGAGCTAGTGCTATTATAGAGTTAAGTTCCTATAAGAATATAAATAAGTACCTTTACTATAGAGTTAGTTATTCTAAATATGCTTCCTAATATATAAGGTTACTTATATTATATATAGCATTTATCTTTCCATATAAAGTAGAGCGAGTTAGCCAGAAAAATAAAATACTAGGTGACTATTAACCCTAAATTCCTGAAAGGATAGTATTACTAAGATAATATAACCCTATACACTATTTCCTCTCTAAGCTTTATATTAACCATGGCTTATTATAAGAGACTAGGCCTAAGAATTAGTTTAGGGAGCATCCTATTCTTACTATAAATTTTATCTATTAGGTGATGATCTATAGCATTACTAATAGTATATTTAAGGGCATATCCTCTATTAATAAACTGCTAGCCTAAAGACCTCTAGAGGGAAGAGAATTATAGACTTTATAATAGATAGAGACTACTAAAGATCTCCCTTTTTTTTAGATAGTTACTCCTAGTAGTCTAAGGTCAGATAAGGGACTAACATTCTCCTTATTAAGATATTATTTTACTAGTCTTAGAGAATAGGATGGTTTTCAAAACTAGCTATATATCCATGGTATTAGAGGGCAGGTTATAAACAGAGTTAACTATATATTAAAGCTAAGATAGTCCTATCTCCTCACTGCTTTTTATTCTTCTTTTCTTCTATTTGCTGGTTAATCTTGCTAACTTAATTAATATAGCTAAGGCTATAGAAGTAATATATAGTTAAGTACTTAATTACTAAAATTATAATATATTTCTTAAGTACTAAGCACCAATTAAGGCACTTAATATATAAGCTATTATATATAATAATATTAAACTAGATTATAAGTGCTAAGATATAGAGTAGAGTATAGCATATTATTATAATCTAAATATCCCTCTTCATCTTAATACTGCAGTAATTATTAAGTTTAAATATAATAAGGAAATTATTACTCTTAATAGGTATATTTCTAAACTAACTTGTAGCGGGCAGGGCCCGCTGGGTGCTCGGGCTGTTCGATCAAATCATACAGCCCTCGCAAAGTCACGTCCAAACTAGACACCAGCTGTAGGTCATGTGACCTCATACTAATCAATGTAATAATCTGCCTAGTCATATGACTATAAGAACCATTCACACACTCCTTTTTATGTTTGGCCGCCGCGGCCCTAGCTAGATTTCTTCCTTAGTAATTTCTTACCATCCAAACCTAGGTCATAGGTTGAACCAGCTTCTAGCCCGTGACATTAGAAATCACTCAGCACAACCAGACGAACCAGACGAACCAGATGAACCAGATGAACCAGACAAACCAGACAAACCAGACAAACCAGATAAACCAGATGAACCAGACAAACCAGATGAACCAGACAGACCAGACAAACCAGACAGGTGATATAGATGGCATGAACTATAATAATGTGTTATTATAGATGTCAATATCCCCTAAAGGACCTAGCAAAGAACAACTATCATAGCAGAATAATATGTAGATGAATCTCATAGCCTAAATAGCCTAATAGTTACAGAATATCACTAATTAAATAGCTTAACTTAAAGAATAATAAATAACTACTACCATAGTAGCACCTACTCCTCAGATGACCCCACTAGCTACTGTGGTAGAAGACCTAATAAGAAGACCTAAGCCCGTGCTACCTAATGTAGAGATATACAACAGCTCTAATAAGGCTATATACTAGACCTTTTATGCTAAGCTATAGGCAAAGTTATTACTTAACTAAGCTGCAATTAGTTCCTTCTATAGGTGCCTATAGTATGCCTTTAGCAGACTTAAGGGGAATACTGCTGCAGCCCTAGCCCCCCTAGATGGATTAGTATAGAAATGATCTAAATATAATATAAGTAATATTAAATAGCTTATATAACTAACTTAATCTTATATTCCTTGACCAGGGCAGAAGTGAGAAGGCCCTATAAGAACTATAAACCCTATACTAAGGCAGCCACCTATTTAATGAGCTATTAGCAGACCTTAACTAACTACTGATAGAAGCTAGAGGCTATTCTTAGTCTAATAAAGTAAAGAAGAACTATCTAGATGGCGCCCTAAGCTATAAAGTAGAAGGAGTACTTACTAGTATTAAGAAGGAAGAGACTTTCATAGACTACTGCCACTAAGTATAGTAAGTAGCTAACTAAGTAGAAGCCCTATATATAAGGGGAACTAGCCACTCTAATTAGTATAGAAGAAATATACAGACTACTAGCCATAGTTATATTACCTATATTCCTACGCCCCTAATAAACCCTGTCTTAGCTATAACAAACCCTAATAATACTATGGACTGGGAACCTTCCTCTACAACCTTAGCTCACCAGCAGCACCGCGCTAAATAGGTTAATAAAAATAAGTTATCCTATTATTACAGTAAAGGAAGATGCCTATGCTATAGGGCATCTAACTATATAATTAAGGGCTGCTAGTACCTAGGGGCTATTCCCCTATAGAGTAAGGAGCTAAAGCTACTGCACACTTCTTAAGCTATTAGACCCCTACTTAAAGATGATGAAGTAAGTAAGGTAGAAAACTAGTTACTCCTATAAAAAGACTCTTACAGGGGCTAGTTAAATAGTTAATATAGCTAAAGAGCTAGCATTACCTATACCCTAAGAAAGAAGACATACTTACTGGTTATAGATAGTTCTAATAAGCTATTAGATTTAATGCGCCTAAATTTATTATGTTAGATATCATTAATAAGGAATATAATTATAGAATCCTTCTTAATACTAGATATATATCTTACATAGTTATAGCTGAACACTTCACCTAGAAGCTACAACTAGAGTAGATCAAGATTAAACTAATTTACCTAGAGAACTACACTAGCACCATAGGAAGTGTTATTTTAATGATCACCTAATTCTCCCTAGATATTAGCAGTAACTACTAACACCTAGTCTATGCCTACATGGTACCTAAGCTAGGCGAAGGCACTAATTTAATCTTAGGAATACTATGGATAAGGGATTAGAGAGTAGTAGTAGAGGCAGAGGGACCCTGGCTAAGGCTCACAGATAGGTTTATAGTAGAGAGCATAAAGAATAAGCTAAAACTAGTAATAAGGAAGATTAGTGCCTAGGGATTCTGTTGGTGAGAACCATGGTATGGTTAAACCTTAATAAGAGGCAAATAGTGATCTCACTATGACAGCATAGTGATATCACCTAGCTACCCACTGCCTATAAATATGTCCTCAAGGTCACTCCTCACCTAGTTTTACAATCAATCAAGCAATCAAGAGAAATCAAGGAATTAAGACATTTAGCTAAGATATCCTTAGCTACTTCCTTCTACTATTCTTCCTTCTTACCTTGGCAAGCTATCTATTCCCCTTTGCTTTAGTGAACTCTACTAGCT